ACAGAACTGTGTAAACACGTGGACTACCACACTACTGATCCCATTTTACGTTAAAGCCTGATGTGTACTTTTTTGAGAATTATTCAGCCGTGCTCTAATGCGCTGCAATTCAATTTGTATTTGAAACGTGCAAGGATGTGACCGCGTCTCTTGAGTGCTGCCTGTAAGCTAGTGTCCTGTCCAGCAGGTGAGAATTTCTTGAATTACGTCCTGTCTATCTATCTATATTTCGTGTAGTATTTGATATAAATTGCTAAGTGGGAAATCTAGTTCGCTCAGCAGAAAGCACAAAAGACCCATTGCGTTTCGCAGACTCCCCCAAAAAAAACCCTCTACACGTTCATCCGCAAAAGTGGCATCGCAGGGAAAGGCTACACATCACAGCAAATACGGAGAGTGAGTGACATTCCAGCTCACCATTAATACAGCACGATTGTATTATTGCGCCTGATGGCAATCTGTTCAGTAGCTGAATGACAATGTCGAGGTCTGCTGGCCACGAGAGGGCTTCAGAGGAGAGTTCGTGTCGTTTTGCTCTTCCTTCTCCATCGAAGGAGCGCAGACTACAGTGGTTTATGATGTGGTCCATAGCAGTACCAACCCCACAGTGTGCGTGTAGAGTGGGGGGGTCATCTCCCTCCAGTACAGACGCCCCTATACCTACGAACGAGTTGGGTTCCAGAGGTCTGTTCGTAAGTCGATTTGCTCATGAGTCCAACTTTACTCCTGTCGATTTCAAACATGTCGTACGGCATGTAAACCAAACAACCGGGAATGGCTTGAAAAGTTGCATAATCTCCTGTAGATGTAGATTCCACTGGTTATTCGTGTTCTGCAGATGTAGATGCCACCACCGCCATCTATTGAACTTACGACTCTCGGTCCAAACAGGCAAGTTCTCAAGTCGAATATTCGTAAGTTGGAGGAGTCCCTGTACCATATTATCTTTCTCTAGTACGATGGGGGCTGCTTCAGCCATGCTCTGACGTTCATTTCGAGGTTGCTGAGTTCACGAAGCACAGTGGGTGGGTCGCTTCAGCGGTAGCCTCGTGGCGCATATCTGACACCACGTTGGCCGCCGGTGAGTTATAGAAGCGGGCAGCGGCCGAACCTACTTTGGGTGGCCCATGGTTTGAGACCGGAGGAGAGAGCCGCGTCTGCCGCGCGATGACTCCAGCGATGGTTGTTCGTGGCCGCGATCCGTGTGTCTTAACCACGAGGACTGCGTGTGGGCGTGCGTGGTCCACAACACATCCCGCGGACAACGTTTACAACGATTATAGAGGCATCCCTAATGCCCTTGTTATCTTGTTATTCGTATGCACGCAACCGTTATGCTGCGCTAATTAAAACCAAAACAGTTCACAGTAATGAAACAAAACCAAAAAAACATCGCTTGCTTTTCTGCATGGTGGAGCGGTGGTGCAGAGGTTAGTGCATTGCACCACGATTCTGGCAAATTGAGTTTGATTCCTGGCCATGGCTAATAATGAGTGGGGTGTGATCTCTACACCTGGACACCCCTTCACCAACGCTAAGTGACCCGCGTGGTGAATATTAAACACCCCCTCAAAACCCACGCGGCATGGGGAGTCCTTCATCCAGCAGTGGATTGACAAAGGGGCACACGTAATTTTGTTTTGATTAAACTTCATTCATGCAAAATACGATTTTTTAAAAAATAAATCCTCTTTCCGAAGCGTTTCATCATCTGTAATCACGTCCCTTTCCTATATTGTAGATCAGAATTCTAACGCGAGTGTAAAACCAAATCCAAAACACCGTGAGCATGTAACCCGAATCACGCACACGCAGAGGGTGCACGCGGCGGTCAATCCCAGGAACTCGGCAGCGCGTGGTGCTACAGCTGTGACCCACGGGCCGCTCGTCCTTGATGCGCCCAGGCCTCTAGGGGAAGGAGGCGAGTTTTAAACATGAGCTTCGAGCGCAGTTAAAGTAAACACGTCTAGAACTTCAAAGTCTGTGCGAGCTACTCGCACATGCGCGCTGTTGGAATTCCAAACGTGAGGCGGGGAGAACAGATGTCAAGTATCCTGAAGGATGATCGCATGACACGATGTAACACAATTTTTGTTCCTGGGTCGTAAGTGTTATTTCGTAATTGCTTATGCCTAAAAAGTATAGAAAATAGCAATTATTCCTCCCAAACTTTGCTTTTGTGACCAGGACAGTGATTTTCAATGAGAAAACGGGCGAATGTGTGTCTTTTCGTTCACATAAAGTCAGAAAAAAACAACATATGAATCAAAATTCACATGTATAAAATTATCTGGACATAATAGCAGCAATTACTTCATGGATATCCTTCCCACCGCAGAGTATGTATGCTCGCTAACAGCACTTGCCCCAACAGTCTGTTAAGGCTACACGGGGGATCTTTGTCGTTGTATGTATATGTGTGTGCGAGCACACGCACCGAGGTGTTCGCTCACAGCACTTGCCCCAACAGTCTATTGAGGTTACACGGGGGATCTTTGCATGTGTTTGTGCACGCACCACTCAGTGTAAGGGAGCGTGGTTAGCGCCGGAGTGAGCTGAGTACACGTGCGAGTGATGTAACACTGGGGACGTCTGAATGGACATCGGCGAGACACTAAGTTCTGGGTTTCTTTTTGAGTTATTGTCCTGTGAAGGATAGAAGGCAGCTGCAGGCTGCCATCGGAGTCTGAATTGTTGTCGGAGTAAAAGAAAATCAATGCTCGCGAGGGAATTCGTGGCCGGTTGAACTTTTCATTCTGAGTTGTTTTTGCCGGCTGCTTGAATTGGCCTCTTCACTAAGTGTCGAGATGGACTGTGAGAGATTTAGACAAAATAATTCGCTGGGAGGGTAAAACTATCACCAGAACTGCAGCAGTAAGAGCACGTGCATTGGTCTGTTAAACCTTTTCAGAGTTAGTCACCGCAGAGTCATTTGCTTTTTGTTCAGCTTTGTATGCCGCTCACATTTTAAAAGAATGATATTCAATTTGACAGCTGCTATTTCCTTCAATTCTGCCTCGATAACTTTTGAAATTTCCAGGAGCGAAATTGTGCACCGACAAAAGAAAAATGGCCGCGTTCCTCCCCCTCCATGCAGGGGGAGGTCGGTTCACGAGCGTGGTGCCCCAATCCGTACTTGATGAGAAAACACAACAACAACAAACAACAACAAACAACAACAACAATGTGTGTACACACTTGAGTGCCGTGGTGTTGGAAACTCATGGTTTTCCATCCTGCACTTTTACTGAACCCATTTGCAGATGCGATTTTTTAAAATAAATAATATTAATTTTAGCGAATGCTTTTACGCGTGACTTTCACAAAGTCAGAGCCACCAGAGAGCCACAAGGCGCTGATGGAATGCTCAAGTAGTGACGGCATCTTCGATGTGAATCTCTACTTCGCGGTATTCGGGCCGAAAGTAAAACCAAAACAAAAAAACATTGTTAACGTACAATTTGTAATATTGCGAGGAAACCGATATCGCGATAATCGTCATATCGTCATCGTGAATATCGTATAATTTATATCGTATCCTATAGTTTGCGCTCCTGTCGTGTTGTTTTGTTTATTGTCGTAACGTTCTGACCTGCCCACCTTTACTGGACACCCGTGAAATAAGAGCATCCCAACCGGGATTAATTCTCACAGGAGGCAGGGGATTAATTGTGTATGTCTGTGGATGTCTGTCCACGTGGGAGGGGTGGGGCTGGGTGGAGAGGGGAGGGTAGGGAGGGGCTGGGTGGGGAGGGTGGGGCTGGGTGGGGAGGGGCTGGGTGAGGTGGGGCTGGGTGGGGTGGGGCTAGGTGGGGAGGGGCTGGTCACCCCGTGGTGCCCTTATAAAACTCAACGTTTAACCTACTCACGCCGGCTTGTGCCCGCCCTCACAGTCGGGCATATTTGCGGAATACACCACGTGGTGGTGCCTCCGTTGACCCTGGCCATTGACCGAGCAACCCAACGTTCCTACCAGCTCCCTCCGCAGGAATGTGTTAGCTCATCGGATTCTTCCTGCATCATGAATAAATATTCTCATTTGATATCGTGGGACCTTTTTGCCAATATCAAAGTATTAAAAATAAGAAAAGGTTTTACCCTTCCTGGCAATAAAACAGGCGGCGTAAATATTTTCAAACACCAAATAGATAACTTTTGCAAGGAATCGTTTCTGCATTAACCACACACAGTACTTGTGGTGAACATGCCAAACAAACATCCTCTGATAATTATTATAAAAGCATTGTCTTTTAAACGGATTGCCCTACACCAGAGAGAGAGCAGCCTTATTTCGAAGGCCTTCTTTAGAAGGCTGTTTCCGGTACCCTATTTGGGTATCTAGGTGGTGTTTGAGCATCTTAACACAAGGCCGTAGCCATGAAGTCAACATTGGGGGGGACCAAATCTTCCAGGGGGTCTTGCCCCCCCCCCCCCCCCAGAAAAAATACATCTAAATTTGAAAAACGAATTTCCTGCCATTTCCTGCCTAAAATATTTTAAAAATCACGAACACCATGGATGGACTTATTTATTTTTTACAATAATGTCTAATAGTGTATTGTATTACATTGCTCTGTTTTTTCTTTTTTTACCTTTCCTTGTTTCATTGTACGTAACGGCAGAGATTAGGGATTAATAAAGTACAACCATAACCACAATCATATAAACAGAAATACATTTTATAGCAATATATTGGGGGGACATTTTTAGCAATATTTTAATATTGGGGGGGGGGGGTGTCCCCCAATATATATTATAATCACGGCCTTGTCTTAACACCACCTCTGTTATTGCCAGAAGAGGGTTAAAGCCCTATTCTTACTTTTCATATTCTCTTTTGATTCTGCGTCCTCGTGGGATTGTGACGCTGCTGATGATGTTGATGATGACGCTGATGGTGATTTTTGGGGCCGCAACTCCATTGGTCGGCGACCCCGTTAGGTGCACCGCCCACCGCGCGGTGACCACGCCCCCCAAGTCTATATAAGGCGGCGCGTGGGGGTGTGACGACTCGCGGTGCCTCTCGCTGTGCGCGCGGTGAGTTGTGTGATGGTTTTTTTAATTGTTATTTTTTAAACACGCATAAAACATATATTACGATGTTATTGTTCATTTGGCTGAGTGGTTGGTGCTCGTGCCACGTAAATAATCGCGGGTTTTAAGCAAATGAAATGTCTCACTGGCGGGTGATGGCTATCATCACCCTAGGAAGGGCGATAGAATAGGTACCGCGTTGTGGGAAGTGAACAGTAGAGTTGTGCTGTATTATGGGGGAGAACCGACGCACGCCATAAGAACGTTGGAATGTATACCACTGGCGCAGGGGCTGTCCAGCGCTCGCATTTGAACGGGCAATTGTAATTGATGTGGATATGAACATTAATCCGTGTTTTGTTTTTATTTAAATTAGAAATGTAGATGGTCGTTATTACAATGTTATACTAGTACAGTACTTGCAGACGTGCAATATCGACACGAACACTGTGTAAGGACCCTGGGGCGCCACGTGAAGCCCACCGCTCCGCTACATGCCCACCACACCGCTACGTTCCCACCGCTCCGCTACAAGCCCACCGCTCCGCTACGTGTCCACCGCTCCGCTACGTTCCCACCGCACAGCCACGTGAAGCCCATCCCTTCGCTACGTTCCCAGAATTGCAAGCATCCCAGCGGCACTCAATTGGGTTCTAGAGGCGGCATATTCTCGACCTGGCAACGCGATTTTTTTTGGCTTACTTTTATCGCTCTTTCAGCCACTTGTGTCACTGCAAGGGCTTCTTGCGGCCACGGTAGTTGACCGCGTTTACGCAGTTGGTGAGCGAAGACCCAAAACGTGAAGCAGCAGCCCTGCCGATGTTGTTCACGGTTCATCGTTAACACCGAGGTAGGTATGTGTGTGTGTGTGAATATCTTGAAGCTGCAGTATTTGAAAGTCCTGTTAAATAATATACAAAGTTTGTGTACGGCATGTAAACCAAGGAAGGTGTGTCATTGTACATTTGCTTAACCGGTTTAAAGTTTAACAACATGCAAACAATGCACGCCGTTCAAGTGAATATTTGGTCAAGAGAGGAGCCACAGGAACGGTTCAGACAACGCTCGCCACCGATGTTAGCCGTGGCCGGGAATCGAACTCGGATTGCCGGGCTCAGGGGGGGAGGGTGTGATAGCTCCTCTGCCACCACTCCAGCCCTGACTCGCCACAGTTTAATCTGCGTTAAGGGCAACCTTCACAGACATCTCACTCCAGGGTGTAATATTGTGCGCGAGCTACCAGCGATGAATAATTACGTTGTTTTCGAACAGAATGTTGACAAACAAGACGAAGGGCGCGCATTTCATTACACAACATCCTTTTTGAAGGAATGCAAGACACCAAATATGGATTGTGCGTAAAAACATCGTGGGCAACAGCACAGCCGAATGGATGTTTGCGGATGCGCGCATCATTTCTCTCTCGCGCGAACCATGCCTCGCGTGCTTGCGCCGCTCCAGTCAACGTTCACGTCGCTTTCAAAAGCACGCCCGCCCTCTTTGTGCTTGAGCAGGCCGGCTCCCGCAGGAAGACACGCCATGGAGAGGACGAGCTTACACGACGAGTACACCCTCTCCTCCTCCCCTCGGCTCACGCTCGCGCTATTGGCGCTCGGCCTGCTGCTCGCGGTCGCCTTAGTCCGACGCCGGCGCTCCGCGCGTCGGCGCCACGGCGGGGCGAGGCCCCTCCCGGGCCCCGTCCGCTGGCCCATCGTCGGCAACATCCTCCAGCTGTGGCCCGACCCCCACCTCAAACTCACCAGGATGTGCGATCGCTACGGCGACGTGTTCCGCGTTCACCTCGGCTCCGTGCCCGTGGTGGTCCTCAGCGGCCTGGAGACGATCAAGCGGGCGCTGGTGAAGAACGGCGACGCGTTCGCGGGGCGGCCGCCGTTCTACTCGCTGAGCTTGGTGGGAAACGGAGACACGCTCACGTTCACCCGCGCGTACGACGGCTGCTGGAAGGCGCACAAGAGGCTGGCTCGGAGCGCCCTGCGGAACTTCTGCGCCGCGCCGGCCCACCGCGAGGGCTACGCGTGCCTGCTGGAGGAGTGCGTGTGCGAGGAGGCCGAGCGGCTGCTGCTCGCCTGCAAGGGCGGTGGAGCGCAGCCCGGCGGCTTCGACCCCGTGCCCTCCATCACGTGCGCCGTGGCCAACGTGATGTGCGCGCTCGTGTTCGGGAAGCGCTACCCGCACGGGGACCCCACGTTCCTGCAGATCGTGGGGTTCAACGAAGAGGCGTCGCAGCTGTCGGGCGCCGGGAACCTGGTGGATTTCTTTCCGTTCTTGCGTCACGTGCCGAACGCTCAGCTAAGGGCGCTCAAAGTCCTCTCGGCCAGGCTCTTGGCTTTCATGGAAGGCCACATCAAGGAACACTACAGCTCCTACCAAAAGGTGCGGTGATACCAATGGTTTTGTTTTATTTTAGAAATTAAATAACCGTCGCTCTCTGATGTGTTTTCGGGTTTTTCCTGCGCGCCGTTTGACATGATGCCCGACGTTTTGCTTCACATGCTGTCGTAATCGTCGTCAGGCCATCGTCATCACCACCACAACCACCAATAGCCACCCTGGCTGGAACCTCTGCCTCTACCATCACGATCACAATCGCCACCTGACCACCACAACTATTCCCACCGCAATCATGACTCGCAGCAGCAGCACCACGACGATCATGACCTCCACTTGCATGACCACCAGAACCATCGTTTCCTCCAGACTCCGATGCTGCTGTTGCGCAGTAGCCCCTTCCCCACGTCTCTGTCGCATTCCTCTCGCGGCCGTCCTCCATCGCTGTTCTACCCACGGGCCGTGTCCCGCTAACCCCCCACCCATCCCGTGCCGACGTTGAATGTTTGAATGTGAACGCCGGTGCAAGTCGGTGTGACGTTGCGCTGCGTGGTGCAGGGCCACGTGCGTGACATCACGGACGCGCTCATCGCCATGTGCGCCGAGCAGGAGCACGCGCTGCGCGAGGTGGGCCTCAGCGACGAGCGCGTCGTCGCCACGGCGCTCGACATTTTCGGTGCCGGTGAGCAGTGCACCACGTTGTGGTCGCTCGGTTCACTCGCGAAAGCCTCGCCCGTGGCTCGAGACTTTTTGTGTTGTTGTTGTTGTTGTTGGGGGTGCCGGTGAGCAGTGCACCACGTTGTGGTCGCTCGGTTCACTCGCGAAAGCCTCGCCCGTGGCTCGAGACTTTTTGTGTGTGTTGTTGTTGTTGTTGGGGGTGCCGGTGAGCAGTGCACCACGTTGTGGTCGCTCGGTTCACTCGCGAAAGCCTCGCCGGTGGCTCGAGACTTTTTGTGTGTTGTTGTTGGGGGTGCCGGTGAGCAGTGCATTACGTTGTGGTCGCTCGGTTCACCCGCGAAAGCCTCGCCCGTGGCTCGAGACTTTTTGTGTTGTTGTTGTTGGGGGTGCCGGTGAGCAGTGCACCACGTTGTGATCGTTCGGTTCACCCGCGAAAGCCTCGCTTGAGGCTCAAGATTTTTTTTTCCAGGAGGGTTCCAGCCAAGTATTTTTTGTTTGCAGTAGGGGAACGACGCAGCCTCTGCTGCTGATGCGCGATCCCAACTGAGTAATTTACGCAGCGTTTGGCCAACACCAGTTCCGTTGTGTGTTTTTTTTAATAGCTATGGGAGGGCATCTGACGTATGTGAGTGTGCCCAAAGTGCGTGCGTGTGTGTGTGTGTGTGGCGTACGTCGTGCGTGCATATCCATAACATCTCCCGTTCATTGTAATCGGCTGCTCCGTGGTCGATTACTCGGGGGCCCTTTAAAAATGCTGCCACCCCCTCCCCTCCCACACGCGCTGCTGCCTCGCGTAGGCAGGAAACCTCTCACCAGCCACGCCTGGCGTGACGCGGGCAGTGATGCCGATGACGTCACCAAGCCCCGCCCGTCACCTCCCGTCCAGCGGCACACGTAGGAACGGAGGCGAGATCGGTGTTTTTTTTTTTTCTCTCTTCCCAAACTGTGGTCGAAGAATCGACGCGGTAATCGCTTGGGTAATCGATTACTTGCATAACTTGATTTCCCAATGTCTAGTTTGGTGTATCTGGCCGAAGGTAGCCTTCCCCAGTAACTCCAGAGCGGCGCTTGGGCTGGGAGCACGCGAGGCACGCGGGCAGGAGATGGGCTGGGAGCACGCGAGGCACGCGGGCAGGAGATGGGCTAGGAGCACGCGAGGCACGCGGGCAGGAGATGGGCTGGGAGCACGCGAGGCACGCGGGCAGGAGATGGGCTGGGAGCACGCGAGGCACGCGGGCAGGAGATGGGCTAGGAGCACGCGAGGCACGCGGGCAGGAGATGGGCATGTAAGATAAACGCGCCCGGCTCCCCGTAGCAACTACAGCAACGCGTAGCAGAGCGCACAATCGTACGTGCGATTCATCGCAGGTAGGCTGACGCCTGCTACGGGCAGCTAAGGTGTAGAGCACACGGAGCAGGTGCCGCGGCCGCTTCCGTCCGCAGCGGCTCGACGTGGCCATCGTCCCCCCCCCACCCCGGGCAGCCACCGGTGAGCTCAGTTCCCTGTGCGCTCCACGCAGGCTTCGACACGATCATCACCGGCTTGACGTGGTGCCTTCTCTACCTCTGCATCCATCCCGACGTCCAGCACAAGCTGCAGCGAGAGATCGGTGAGGTGCCGAGCTTCCGCTCGTGACAAACGTGGAATTCCCAATCGTGATACGAATGATGATGATGACGATAATAGCGTAGTAACTTTGGTGACCGCGATGTCACTCTTCACGATGCGAGGCCTTGTAAAACTTCACAATATGACTTCATATCGTTGTATCAGTTTGCAATACGTTTGTAATACACGTTTTTTTTTATTGTAGTGTCTTTGCGCTTTTGCTGTGCTTCCAGTACAAATAAGGAGTGCCAATAAGCTCTTTAACTTCAGTTAGCTAATTAGCAATGATTTATATTTTTTATTCACGTCATTATGTTGGTCATCGTGCGGTGTAAGGTATAAAGATGTTGGTGTTGTGCCATCTCTCCAAGATCGCTCAAGCCTCAAAACTAAAGTCTTAACTCTATACGTTTAAATTGCATATTTATATTTGGAAGAATATATTGGCTAATGACACGACTATATATAGGGATAATGTCCTTCATATTATACTATTTTTAACATTTGCAAAAACATACAAATTCTTATAAAAAGTACAAAATAATCGGCTCTGGTAGCGCAAGCACCTAAGGACGTAATTTAACTCGAATAATGACGCAATTTCAACGTAAGCAGCTGCGCTTATTTGCAACGTGTGCACCTTTGCAGATGAAACGATCGGCAGGGACCGCACTCCGAGGTTCGAGGATCGCGCGAACCTGCGACGCGTGGAGGCCTTCCTCACCGAGATGTTCCGCCACTCCGCGTTCGTCCCGTTCACCATCCCGCACAGGTGCCCGGGGCTTCGCCGCCAACCCTCAGCACCTCGCCACTGGGAACGCACGATGCCCTCCGACTCTGGGCACCCCGATTAAGGAAGTCAACCCGCACTCTTTGGTTCTATTCGGTAAAGTCACGTAGGTAAAAAATTAAAACAACAAAAATCACGACGTTTCGGCCACAACACAAGCGGCTTTCATCAGGTGAAGGGACCAACCTGTCCAGCAGACAGCTTCAAATCTAGAGAAGTCAACCTGGTTGCATAATGGATTTGACATTTTTTTTTCATAATGGATTTAAAAAATCGCGTTGGTCACGTGCAAAGCTGCGATGGGTTTGGCTGAGCGGTTCGTCAACATTTTTTGTCTGGTGGTCCGACCCCGGTCAAGGTCACCGCTGTGCCTCCGTTGAGCTTACAAAGTTGGCGGTGGTTCCCAATGCTCCCTTACCGGTTTGGCCGCGGGTTCTCCGCAGTCGCGTTCCGGGTTTTCCCTTGGTTTCGTGAAACTGGCGACCGGATCTAGCGTGATGATGGGTCACGCGCATTGAGTCCCGTGGGTCTGTAGCTTTCGGGGAAGCTTGACTCCTGGTGTTCAGGGTGCCTCTGAATATCCAGATTTGTCTCAAATGCTCTTCAATTCAGACCTCACCGTCCAGTACGAGGGACGTAAGATGCTAACAACTGTGGGAGTTCTCCGGTCGGCACGACGCTATTTGCTTGTACCGTGTTCACAGCACGACGCAGGACGTGGTACTCAATGGCATGTTCATCCCTCGGGACACGTGCGTGTTCGTCAACCTTCACCAGGTCAACCACGACCCGTAAGCCCCGGGGACACCAGAAACTCACACACACACCAAGGCAGCATGCCACTGTATGCTGCTTGCACATGCATGCCACTGTCACGCGCAGGGAAATGAAATCCACCGGCGAGACTGTGTCGTGAGGCGGAGTAGATTATTCTCGTATCGGGTGACAGACTGAACACCGAAAGAGATTTCCGTTTGTCAGAGCAGTATTTACCGAACCTCGGAGCGAAATGCAGCGAAAAAGCTTCCCTCAATGACGCCCCGCAAAAAAAATATGCGGACGTGCGTGCATCTCTGACAACCCCAGAGTGCTGTACTCCACGAGTCCCAAGTTCGTGCCTCTCCCCGCAGAGCACACCCTGACCCTCGTCTTTGCACGCTCCTCGTGTCCGATATGCTGCATTCAGGACCGTATGGAGCGACCCCGAGCGGTTCGATCCGGACCGCTTCTTGTCGCACGACGGAAAGGAGGTGAACAAGGAGATGGTGGAGAAGGTTCAGATCTTCGGCCTGGGCAAGCGCCGCTGCCTGGGCGACGTGGTGGCGCGCCAGGAGCTCTTCGTGGTCCTCGTCACGCTGCTCCAGGGGCTGTCGTTCCGAGTGCCGCCCGGCACGCCAACGCCGAGCGTCGCCCCGCAGCACGCCCTGGTGATGAAGCCGCCGCGCTTCCACGTGTGCGCGTCCCCGCGGGCGTGAGCCGACGCTCGCCTGCGCTTGCCGGGCGGGCTCTGGGGAGAGGCTGTGGGATTGCGAGAGCCAGCTTTTTTTTTTTTGCCGGGCGATTGAACAGTTCGGGTGTGTGTGTGTGTGTGCGGCCACAGCGACAAATGCACAATGGGGCAACGAAGTGAAAGACTGCAGGGAGTCTTGATTACAGGTGCGTGTGTGTGTGTGTGTGTGCACGTGCGTGTTTTTTGTAGAGACGCACAGTCGCCCCGGCCATTGTCTTAGGGCACAACATCACGCTCGGAACTCGCGCTAATTCCCCCCTCGTGCCAGAGTCTTGGGATCTTGCTGAGCTGCGCTTGCTTGCACCGTCATGCTCCAGTGCAGAACAATTTAGACGATGTTGTTTTGGGCAGCTCTTTTGGCAACAACAGAAGGATGTTTTCGAGTTCCCTCTTCGCAATGCGCAATACGATTTTTGTGTCACTGTGGAGAGACCACGGAGGGCACCACAGAGGGCACCACCTGCAGTTTGCGCAGGGCACAAGTGAGATGTGAACAAGCTCAATGTTGTTCTTTTTTACCAACCTCAGAATCAGAATATTTATTGATATTGGAGAAATCCAATGAGCTAAAATGCTCGAATCGGATGAGCTATGAAGCTCTTTTTCACAGATGTCAGAACATTACAACAAACAATACAAAAACACGAGATAGGAGTGCAACCCGAAAGGAAAGGTAAACATATCACAGGGCCAAAAAAATACAAATTGAAATAAACAATGTTTTACCTTACCAGGTAAAGCCCACTGAGGTATTAAATTATTTTTCAGAAGCGACCTGGCCACAAATGGATAGCTCAACAAAGTGGCTTATCATGTGGAAATTAGAGCAGCAAAATTATCTAAATAGTTTAAATGCATGTTTCTCAGCCACGTCGAAGGCTTGCTTATCAACCCGTCATCTCCACAATAGAATGCCACTGCTCCTGTGCCACAGTGATGGACTATAATGCCCTTCCCATTGACATCCAGTGTTAGCTCCATTTAAATTACATTTTGGCATATGAATCATTCGGCGGGACCCCGGGGTCCCGCAAAAATCAGGTCAATAATTATTATTATTTTTCAGTCCGCCCACTCGTGATCCCGACAGCAACGCGCCGCCCGCCCAGACTCGCACCAACAAGCGCCAGCAGGCGGCGATCAACACGATGGGCACCACCCCACCGGCCAAACGCGAGCCCCGGGGGGCGTCCGCCGCAGTCGCGCGCGGCGACGACGCCCTCCGGTCAGCCGTCGATCCTCGGCTTCTTTGCCAAGGCGAGCCCGCCCCCCAGGCAGTGAATTTAACGTGTTTATGTAATTTTTCAACTTTTTACGAAACTTAGTGTCCCCGAGTAGCTCTCGACGAGGCCAATCGATTGACCACTAGTTTTGTTGTCGGTAAGGCGACAAGACTCGTGTCGCTACGCGGGTTTTCCCACCCCGGGGCAGTGATGGGACCCCGGGGTCCCGCCAATTGCTTCACGTGGTGGCAATATGTTCAGGAGCTATATTCCAATGTCGAGGTCTACCAGCCATGAGAGGGCATTGGGAGGGAATTCGCGTAGTGTTGCCGGTGAATAGTTACATTGAAATGAAAAGCTTATTTAAAGACTGAACCAGCCATCGGAGTGCAGTCAAACTATCGACGACACGAGAGTGAAAATACAGACGGTGGGCACAACATTACTCGTGATCAGTTTAACACCGTAGGCTCGTGATGCTCAGCAGAGAGGAGACAGCAGAGAGGAGTTGGGTGTTAGAGAGAGGGGATCTGGGATCCCGGAGCACCACACCACCTCGACCGCACCAAAGAGCGCCGGTTTCTTAACGGACCGAGACGAACGTCAAATGAGTTTAACCCAAATGCGCGTGGCCATCAGCCACCGCCCGCGTGCTCCACAACGCCGCGGTGAGGAGCAGCCGGCCGCGGGGCGCCGACGTCTCTCTCGCCGTCTGGAACGCTCTTCCTTTTGATATTAGGTAGCTACTGGAGCTATGTTCTTTTAAATCTAGCTTGAAAATGTATTTCTTTAGAACAGTTTTTTTTGTGATTAGTTTGTTATCCGTCTACCGCATCTCCAATTATCACGGTTGGCTACGTACGGTGCGAAAGAAGTGACTTTACCGAAAGAACCAAGAATATGAATCACTGCGGTCACGAAAGCTTTAAATAAAAAATCATACTAATTTCGTCCAGGTATTGCGTGTTTTGCAGGGTTCTCAAGGAATGGGATCACAATGTATTATTATTGTTTGCTGTACAATCGCATATGCAATTCCAAAACATTCCATATATTTTTTCTTGAATAAAAATTATCCGGTGATATATAATTGTATCAAATGTGTTTTGTGTCATATTTACACCTACATAATTGAGCAGAGAATCACCAATGTTATCGTCAAAAGAGAAAGTTACAAGTGATCATTGTTCACAAGCGAGCATTGTCTCCAAGGGGGCATTGTTTACACGCAAGCATTGTTTACACGCAAGCATTGTTTACAAGCGAGCATTGTTTACAAGCAAGCATTGTTTACACGCAAGCATTGTTTACAAGCGAGCATTGTTTACAAGCGAGCATTGTTTACAAGCGAGCATTGTCTCCAAGGGGGCATTGTTTACAAGCGAGCATTGTTTACAAGCGAGCATTGTCTCCAAGGGGGCATTGTTTTACAAGCGAGCATTGTTTACAAGGGAGCATTGTTTACAAGCGAGCATTGTCTACAAGCGAGCATCAATGGTTCATTGACCTGGTGGAGTTTAGCGCCGCCGAGTGGATGGTCAGGGCACACGCCAGGGGGTTATTTGCTCCGGCAGTCGAAGGGCAGGTTCGCGATTATTTCAGCTCGGTCGCGGTTCCATGCTGCTGCTGCTGCTGTTTGTGGGAACCACTCCACACCGTCTCCGAGTTGCACTCCCAGAGGAAACGACACCAACTGAATGCGGCAGTGTTCCACGTCGTCAGTCAGCTCCGACCTCCTTCGTTCTGACCCGCGTTGTACGCGTAATGACAATAGAACCTGCATGGGGCCGTCCATAAATGACGTCACGCGATTTTGGACGATTTTTGACCCCCCCCCCCCCCTCGTCACACGGCGTCACAAAAAGTCAGACCCCCCCTCAAATATGACGTCACAACACTCTGCCCCCCTCCCCCCCCCCCCAAACAATATTTTCATTTTGAAAATAAAACATGCTTCAAATCGCCTTAAACTATTGTCATTGTAGTGCGTATTTAATGTGGTGCTGCACTCTGATGTTGTAGGAGAAAACATTTATTAAAAAGTCTATTTAATTTAGTAGAACGTGTTGTCTATATTTATTTAAAGTTGCGCATTTTGATGTGACGTCACATTTCTCATACCCACCCCCCTTCTCGTCACACATCGTCACAAATGTCTGACCCCCCCCCCCCCAAGGTGCGTGACGTCATTTATGGACGTCCCCCATGCGGTGAGAGTGAACTAGTGGCCACGGGAGATAATGCCAGGGATATAATAATAGATGTTACCCTTTCTGGCAATAAAACAGTTGTGTCAAGATGTTAAAACACCAAACAGAATCCTTATTCAAGGAATCATGTCTGCTTTAACCACACATAGTACTTGTGGTGAGCATGCAAGTAAAAAAACATCCTCTGACAGTATATGCGTTGTCTATGAAGCTGATTGGTCCACACCAGAGACAACATTTTGACACCTGTTTTATTGCCAGAAAGGGTAAAACCTATTATATTTTAAAACTGACAAGAGAGGTCCCATATTTTAATGACAGGGGTATCAGTTGTGAGTGCAATGGGACTGGTGGCTACGGGAGGTAATGACAGGGGAGTCAGTTGTGAGTACGAAGGGACTGGTGGCTACGGGAGGTAATGACAAGGGTATCAGTTGTGAGTGTGAAGGGACTGGTGGCTACAGGAGATAATGACAGGGGTATCAGTTGTGAGTGCGATGGGACTGGTGGCTACGGGAGGTAATGACAGGGGAGTCAGTTGTGAGTGCGAAGGGACTGGTGGCTACGGGAGGTAATGATAGGGGTATCAGTTGTGAGTGCAAAGGGACTGGTGGCTACGGGAGGTAATGACAAGGGAGTCAGTTGTGAGTGCGAAGGGACTGGTGGCTACGGGAGGTAATGACAAGGGAGTCAGTTGTGAGTGCGATGGGACTGGTGGCTACGGGAGGTAATGGCAGGGGTATCAGTTGTGAGTGCGATGGGATTGGTGGCTACGGGAATGATCGAGAAGGGGGCGTGGCCAGGTGACGGAAGAGGACCGTGGAGCCTGCCGGTGGAGCGAGCGTCCAGACTCAGCGAGAAGGTTCGGGAAGGGGGGGCGTGGCCTCGTGTTGGTATATGAAAAGTAGATGAGCGGGAGGCTCGGGCCTGTTTGCGGTGGAGTCTCCGCCTGATGTCAAGTGAAAGTGTCTTCAGTAAAGTGACATCTCAAGAGAAGTGTGTCGAGTCGTCCTTACATACGTATTCGCGTCCCATATTAGACTCAAATATCGAGTTACTCGCAACCTGTACCTAACATGTTATTGTTTTCTCCTGCAGCCCCATTTGCTTCTCGCACTACGTTAGCGCGTGTTTGTTTTAGCGATTCGCGTGCGTTTCGTTTACCGTCGGTGCTGCAATATTCCCAAAGGACAGGAATATTCGATACTGGCAAAAAGGTCCCATCTTTGTAGCCGCTCACCCCGAGCTATGAATGCCCTGATAGTGGCATTGTCCTTGTGCTGTTCGCCTCTTGGCGTTCTCTGGTCTGACACTGGTGAGACTAGGCCCTAAAGAAGGCTGTCTCTGGTCTCGGCCAATCAGTTTCAAAGACAATGCATCATATATTATCGGGGCATGTTTGGTTGCATGTTCACTACAAGTACGTGTGGTTAATGCAGACAATGCTTGCAAAATGTTTTTATTTGGTGTTCGAACATATTAACACCTGTTTTATTTCCAGAAAAGGTAAAAGGCTTTATGGTTAGGGGTGGCTTTGTCTTTGTCCATTAAAATCTTCACCAGTTATACTCCAGCGGCCTCGCTAGAGGGGGCTATTGGCAGCAACTTTGAAAGTTTATTTAAATCTCTACTCTTTGGTTCTTTCGGTAAAGTCACGTAGGTAGAATAGAATAAAAACTAAAAATAATATATAAAATATGTAATTTTTTGTTTTATAAAATAAAAACAAAAAATAATACATAAAATATATAATTTTTTGGTTTTATAAAATAAAAACAAAAAAGAATTTAAAAATATATAATTTTTTCTTTTATTTTATTTTCTACCTACGTGACTTTACCGAAAGAACGAAAGAGTATGGATTCCTGCAGTCACGAAAGCTTCAAATCAAGGTTGAATTTAAATCTGTGCTCGCACGAAGACCGACACGCCTTGTGTTGTTGGCCAGCATAGGGCCCACTCAGCGTAGGCGAGTAACTTCAAAATCAGAGCTATAGCACAGGGACACGTTTGAATTCGGAGGAGCGCTGTCATTGCTGTGTGGGGCTTGCATCGTACGGATGTCATACAGCGCTGCACCAGAGGTCCGTATGATAACAGGTCCTTGCAGGGTGGGCTGGTAGGAACATTGGAAAAACATTTTTTACACCCAACAGCACGAGATTTCACTTCGTTAAAGTATTGAAAGGGGACGGACGGACGGACACATTAATCTATTGCAGGCTGGTACACTCAGTTTACAACTTCGTTCCTACCAGTATAAGAATTGATTTCACCCTTTCAGGTGTTAAGATGTTAAAACGCCAAACAGAAACCTTTTGCAAGGAATCATGTCTGCATAACCACACATACTTTGTTGTTTTTTCCTGGATTTTCTGTTGCGCGTAGTCACTTTAAGATGCTTTCTCGTTCATGTTTTTTGTTTGTTTGCGGTTGCACCCGAGTCAAGAGCCGAATGGCTCACAGGGCTATGCCAAATAAATGAAACTGAAAACTGAAAAACTTGTGGTGAACATGCACACGAAAAACACGCTCTTGTAATATACGATGCATTGTATTTAAAACTGATTGGTCCACACCAGAGACCGCCTTCTTTATGGCCCAGTGTCAAATAGTGTTATGAGTTGAGTTGAGCTTGGTGGACCTTAAAACGGCAAATTTAGAGGATTGT